TGCATGAGAGCACCAGCTTTTCCGTACGACTGTGTGATCACACTCTCCGTAGCCAATGTGAGTAAGACCTTAAAAAAAGGCTTACCATGACGCGTACTCAGAGCATGTGCTGACCAGCTGGCAACTGTCTTTACTAACATTTTTCTCTCCCTGACCCAGTCTGTTATACCTACATGTTTCAAGCAGACCACCATAGTCCCTGTGCCCAAGAACACCAAGGTAACCTGTCTAAATGACTATCGCCACGTAGCACTCACATATGTAGCCATGAAATGCTTTGAAAGGCTGGTCATGGCTCACAACACCATCATCCCAGACACCTTGGACCCACTCTAATTCGCATACCATCCCAACAGATGACGCAATCTCTAATGCACTCCACACTGCCCTCTCTCACCTAGACAAGAGGAACATCTATGTGAAAATGCTGTTCATTGACTACAGTGCAGCGTTCAACACCATAGTGCCCTCCAAGCTCATCACTAAGCTAAGGACCCTGGAACTGAACACCTCCCAATGTAACTGGATCCTGTACTTCCTGACGGGCCACCCCCAGGTGGTGAGGGTAGTGCGTGCAACAACACAGGGGTGCGTGCTTAGTCCCCTCCTGTACTCCCTGTTCACCCACGACTTTGTGGTCTTGCGCCACTCCAACACCATCATTAAGTTTGCTGACGACACGACGGTGGTAAGCCTGATCACAGATGACGATGAGACAGCCTATAGGGTGGTAGTCAGAGACCTGGCAGTGTTGTGCCAGGAAAACAACCTCTCCCTCAACGTCAGAAAGACAAAAGGAGCTGATCGTGGACAACAGGAAACAGAGGGCTGAGCACACCCCCATTCACATCAACGGGCAGTAGTGGAGTGGGTCGAGAGCGTCAAGCTAATTTTCTGTAATTAGCTCGCCATTAACTTGCAAATAATGATTGGTAATAATGAATGTAATTTAGCTAAAGTTAAGACGTTGTCAGCTACAGTGCCTTGCAAAAGTATTCATCCACCTTGGTGTTTTTCCTATTTTGTTGCATTACAACCTGTAATTTAAATTGATTTTTATTTGGTTTCATGTAATGGACATACACAAAATAGTCCAAATTGGTGAAGTGAAATAATTAAAAAAAATAATGGAAAAGTGGTGCGTGCGTATGTATTCACACCCTTTGCTATTAAGACCCTAAATAAGATCTGGTGCAACCAATTACCTTCAGAAGTCACATAATTAGTTAAATAAAGTCCACCTGTGTGCAATCTAAGTGTCATATGATCTCAGTATACATACACCTGTTCTGAAAGGCCCCAGAGTCTGCAACACCACTAAGCAAGGGGCACCACTAAGCAAGGGGCACCATGAAGACCAAGGAGCTCTCCAAACAGGTCAGGGACAAAGTTGTGGAGAAGTACAGATCAGGGTTGGGTTATAAAAAAATATCAGAAACTTAGAACATCCCACGGAGCACCGTTAAATCCATTATAAAAACATTGAAAGAATATTGCACCACAACAAACCTGCCAAGCGGATATTGGAGTATCTGTCCATAGGATGGCTTTTTGGCCATCAAGGAAAAAGCTATGTCTGGCGCAAACCCAACACCTCCCATCACCCAGAGAACACCATCCCCACAGTGAAGCATGGTGGTGGCAGCATCATGCTGTGGGGATGTTTTTCCATTAGCTTTGGGGGGGGTGAATAGTTATGCACGCTCAAGTTCAGTTCTTTTGTCTTATTTCTAGATTTTTATCCAATGTAAAAAACACATTTTCAATCTTTGTGACATAAGACCGAATCGAGCCGGTCAGTCACATTTATTATGACGTGTTATACATTTTCTACTATTTTCCTTCTCTCTGCATTGTTGGGAACAGCCCGTAGGTAAGCATTTCACTGTTAGTCTACTCCTGTTTACAAAGCATGTGAATAATAACATTTTATTAGAATAAAATACCCTCCCTCTGGCTAGAAACACATTGCAGGTTTTTAAAAATATTTTTTTCTTACTTTTAATCCTTCCCTGTGATGTCACAGATACGTTTTTATTTTTTGTGTCTCATCTTTTTAACCATTGATCATAGAAACGCGCCGTTTTTACTGACACTGGTATGGTGCTGGAGATGAATAGGAGGTTACTAAGTGGTGTTATTGTCATTTGGATGTGGTACTACAGTAGCTGTAGCATGCTCATTTCCCAGGTTTCCTGATCATGCACGTCCATTTGGGCCATGTGTCGGCGTCTGACCCCCGCAACATTGGTGATATGGGCCACACCCACACAGTGCAACTTAAGACTAGAAAGGACAGGGTTATCTTTATAACTTTACCTCTCACTGAATCTACTGCCCAAAGATAGAAAACAAGTAAATAATGTAAAATAAATCAAATCTATATTGTTTGTAAATCAAAACCCAAAAGACCTCGAACTAATGACCTCAAACAATAATTTTTTTCAGGTGCATTTTCCTATGGTCACGGACCAACTGTCTGATTTAAGACTTGCACTAGCCTTTCCACCTGCAATTCACTGGCGGCCAGGTGCTACGCTACCCATTCCCTTTGGAGTGAAGAGCAATATGAAGAAAAACTAGGGGATGGATATCAATCAATCACAAACAGCACTACAAAAGAAATTCCACATGGACAAGCTTTGTGTGACTCATTGCCTCTGGATGGTATTTTATACAAACTAAGAAATGTGAAATGTCTGAGACGTTAACTTGAGGGTTGTGCTGAACACACGGGGTCCAGCCACAGAGGTGCATTTCCCTTCAATTTATTTATTGATGTACTGAACATGAAAAAATACAAAGTATTCCAAAAAAAGAAAACAACATGTACATCCTTTTAAATATTCAAAAGATATATTCTATCCCTAAAATGCTGTGAACAAAGTCATACTGTATAACTTCAAATAAATAATCATTCTCACATTTAGAATTGAGATAAAGTGGGGGCAGGGGGACTAATTTCGTCACGCCGGATCCCCCTCTGTTCCGTTAACAGTTACCCTCAATCAAGACCAGTGAGGGGCTTGAAAAAATAGGGCCCCTCCCCCACAGCAGCAGGTGTGTCACAGCTCATCTATAATCAAAGTTTAACTTGTACAAGTAAGTAACCCAAAAAAGAAACAAGTCAAACCAGAAAGAAAAGCAGTTGCTAAGATAAATATATAACGCACACACTGCTTGTTTTAAGGGGAAGCATGTCTAATATTTAGTTAAATACAAAGCAGGATGCAGGTGCAGTATTCAGTGCATTTAAGGCTTGACCAGCCTCCGTTTGTTCGAGATAAGCAAGACGTTCAGCAATCTCTTGCAACCCCTTGCAACCCTTTTTACTACGGTCATGGAACTGCTTCATTGTCCTTCCCCAAAGTGAATAAAGCAATGTACACCTTTTTACGATTTTTAAGACAGTTTATATGCATTACGTATATTTGAACATGAAGAAAAGGTAATCAAATAGTTCAAAACTGTGGTTTATATCCATTCTTTACCACATAAATATATATCTATAATGTTTAGATATAAAAACAAACCAACTTAAATGTCTAGTTTTCTTAATAGCAGAAGCAAGACTATCTAAAGACCAAACCACCAACAAATCTTACACTGTAATGCTAGTCCATAGGACAACAAATAAAGTTTTTCAACTGAATGTAAACAACTTTGAGTCAAACAAATCAAAGGCAATATCCAAAATAAAAATCATATTTGTACATCCTCGTAAATAAAAAAGCACTTTTCCATAAAGTTCCAAATTAATAAACAAAATAAGTTAGCCAAATACTTAACATAAAAAATGACTTATTTACATAGCTGTAAGCTCAGGAGTAATCCTTTCCATTCTTCATTCAAACTAGTTTTCTTTAGATGCTGCCGGTTTTATCTAGCTTGTCCTCTTTCATACAAAGCAGGTAAAACCCTTATTTGTTTAATATAAAGACAAAATGAGTCTAATGATATAGTAAGTACACCACAAAACACCATGAGCTCTGTCTGAAGGGAATCATTTAGGAAGAACTGATTTTTATCCTGCTTTTACATTTAAGATATTTCCACTTTATAATTTTGCATGCACTTTTGCGAATAAACCTTTGTATTTTTCTGTCTGTCTCTCCAAATCAAATCTGAATGTGCGTTTCTAGTTATAACAACCAGGATGATAGGACAACCCACAGATTTTACAAATGAAACCAGCACTGCCATTGATTCTAGAACCGAAAGATTATACACATCTCTCCATAAATTTAAACCACAGCAAACTTTCTGGTAAAGTTCAAAAGCTCACAAGGTCTCATATGAAGATATTTCTCAAAGTATCCAAGTCAAAATATTTGTTCCAGGTCCAGTAAAAAGTGTCTCCAAATTTTCATTTTTTATAAAAATAGATGCTTTTTAAACCCACATCAAAGAGTTTCATAGCTCTTTGGCAAGTTACTGCTTTAGGTTATTCTTTTTTTTGTCTTATTTACATTTTACAATAAGCAACATTATGCAGCCAATCAATAAACAACTCATATTATGATAAACAAAATACTTACAAAAATAAGAAAAACTATGAATAATCCAAAATAAATACTTTTTAACCAATTAAGACCCAAACGCACCTAAGGCAAATCAGGACACAGATTTTTTTTTTTTTTACAAATAATCACAAAGCCTTACAAGACATAATGGTTCAAAGCAGATGTGCAGCAAAAAAATAATAAGCTGTAGTAACATTTTAAAAGGTCTATCTTTAAAGACTGCAATTGAATGCAACATTACAGGTGTGACAACCTGAAGTATTTTTTCTGGTTCAACGCAAAGTATTTTAAGAAGTTGCAAAGCCTAGCAATGAAGGAAAACAAAGAAAACTTTGGACGCTAAATATAGTTTCCCTTCGTAACACTGATTTACAAAGATATTTTTACTAATGTAGAAAGTTTATGGTCGGTAGGTTTCCATTTAATGTTTTTCCATTTTCTGTAGAGTTTTCTATAAACAATCTGAGATGGAGATTAGGCTTTGTGCGTTTTGTTGGTTTTGAACGAGACTTGCAGAACTCTGTCCCCGAGGCGGTATCCGTTCAAGCTGGCGATGGCCATGGCTGCCTCGTCATAGTTAGTCATGGTGACAAATCCGAACCCTTTGCACTTATTTGTGTTGAAGTCGCGGATGACTTTAACGTTTGTGACGGCACCAAATGGTCCAAACATCTGCCACAGGATGCTCTCGTCTGCATCCGGAGCCAGATTGTAGACGAAAATGCACCAGCCGGTGCCCGCATTCCCCGGGATGTTGATGCCAGCCAGGCTGGTCACTCCATCGATGGCAATGGGGGAGAACCTGCTGTAAAACACAAAGACAAGCATGGGTCAATGCAAAACCCAGACAGCAGACAGGCATCACTGACAAGCATGAACTACAAACTGCTGGTATTTCAGTGACTTTTCATTGAACTCATTAAATTGTTTTTAGGTTTTATCTAACGGCACAAAAAAGATGTTCACTTGACACAATCACTTTCAACTGCATGTACATGGCTACATTAAGTTTGAGCTACGCCAAACACCAAAATTTACCCCATTTTCTCATTGCCACTTGACCACCTTAGGCAAAAAATTGCATACTTCCTTAAACGTCCAATGCAGCAGTTTCTATCTCAATATGATATAATTTCTGGGTAACAATTAACTTTTCACCCATGAGTTCCAAATATCTATAACGCTCGCAACTGCGCAATTTTTTTGATGCGAGTGATGTCGGAATGTACTCACTGTTCCAAAATGTGATTGTTACGCAACAGGACAGTTAACGCACACTGCCCTCAAACCAAGGCACGCTGCCTGCTAATTATCTATAGGCTGTTTCAACTTGTCAATTTCAAATTATTTTCTAACAAGTTTTATTTTCTAACAGTTCAAATTGAGGTGCGTTCCGCCTCCTCATTAATTCACATAGAAGTACAGTGAGGGAAAAAAGTATTTGATCCCCAGCTGATTTTGTGCGTTTGCCCACTGACAAAGAAATGATCCGTTTATAATTTTAATGGTAGGTTTATTTGAACAGTGAGAGACAGAATAACAACAAAACTGTTATAAATTGATTTGCATTTTAAATGAGGGAAATAAGTATTTGACCCCCTCTCAATCAGAAAGATTTCTGGCTCCCAGGTGTCTTTTATACAGATAACGAGCTAAGATTAGGAGCACACTCTTAAAGGGAGTGCTCCTAATCTCAGTTTGTTACCTGTATAAAAGACCTGTCCACAGAAGCAATCAATCAGATTCCAAACTCTCCACCATGGCCAAGACCAAAGAGCTCTCCAAGAATGTCAGGGACAAGATTGTAGACCTACACAAGGCTGGAATGGGCTACAAGACCATCGCCAAGCAGCTTGGTGAGAAGGTGACAACAGTTGGTGCGATTATTCGCAAATGGAAGAAACACAAAACTGTCAATCTCCCTCAGCCTGGGGCTCCATGCAAGATCTCACCTCGTGGAGTTGCAATGATCATGAGAACGGTGAGGAATCAGCCCAGAACTACACGGGAGGATCTTGTCAATGATCTCAAGGCAGCTGGGACCATAGTCACCAAGAAAACAATTGCTAACATACTACGCCGTGAAGGACTGAAATCTTGCAGCGCCCGCAAGGTCCCCCTGCTCAAGAAGGCACATATACATGCCCCTCTGAAGTTTGCCAATGAACATCTGAATGATTCAGAGGAGAACTGGGTGAAAGTGTTGTGGTCAGATGAGACCAAAATCGAGCTCTTTGGCATCAACTCAACTCACCATGTTTGGAGGAGGAGGAATGCTGCCTATGACCCCAAGAACACCATCCCCACCGTCAAACATGGAGGCGGAAACATTATGCTTTGGGGGTGTGTTTCTGCTAAGGGGACAGGACAACTTCACCGCATCAAAGGGACGATGGATGGGGCCATGTACCGTCAAATCTTGGGTGAGAACCTCCTTCCCTCAGCCAGGGCATTGAAAATGGGTCGTGGATGGGTTTTCCAGCATGACAATGACCCAAAACACATGGCCAAGGCCACAAAGGAGTGGCTCAAGAAGAAGCACATTAAGGTCCTGGAGTGGCCTAGCCAGTCTCCAGACCTTAATCCCATAGAAAATCTGTGGAGGGAGCTGAAGGTTTGAGTTGCCAAATGTCAGCCTCGAAACCTTAATGACTTGGAGAAGATCTGCAAAGAGGAGTGGGACAAAATCCCTCCTGAGATGTGTGCAAACCTGGTGGCCAACTACAAGAAACGTCTGACCTCTGTGATTGCCAACAAGGGTTTTGCCACCAAGTACTAAGTCATGTTTTGCAGAGGGATCAAATACTTATTTCCGTCATTAAAATGCAAATCAATTTATAACATTCATGCGTTTTTCTGGATTTTTTTGTTGTTATTCTGTCTCTCACTGTTCAAATAAACTTACCTTTAAAATTATAGACTGATAATTTCTTTGTCAGTGGGCAAACATACAAAATCTGCAGGGGATCAAATACTTTTTCCCTCACTGTAGCCCATTTCACTGTTGCGGACAATTTACGTTTGAGCCATTACTGAGCCCAAGCACAAACTTTTTCCTCCCTGGCACATTTTCCAGCTGGCGCCTGCATTGCCTTCACTACAAATAATAACTTTGGACAAGTGTGCGTTCCTATCAAAGTAAGTGCCTTATTAATTCATCATTATAGTTTCTGCATATTGTGTTGTCATTTCTACTGTAGCACACCGTAAGTATATATACAGCATAATGTATTTACTGTTTTATTAACATGTTTTCAAGTACTGGTGACAAATCATGCATTCCGATTCTTGCATAGATTGTAATGGACACGTGTGTATATATATTTTTTTAAGGTTGTACTGATTATGATGAGCTAATGCTGAACTAATTGCCAGCTATGTGTGTCGCCATGTTTGTTGACATCATACAATGCATTCTGGTTGTCACGTAAACGTCTGTCAGACCAAAGACGTTATACCAAAATGAGGTGAAGGGCTGTTTCACTCGTATTTCGAGTAAACTTCCGGAAGTGAATGATGGTAGACGACACACCCCCTTCAACAAGTATACTGCAAACTAGGGCTGTCACAGACAAAAAAAAAAATCTTTATCGACCAAGAGTAGTCTGTTCTCGAAATGTGTTTTAATCAAATCAACTATATACACTGAGCTTGTCTGATGCTTTAAGCAAACTGCTTGATTAAATAATTAAGACACACAAATGACTAGTGGGAGTCTGACCACAACAGATTTGATTGTGCCGGGCCTGGCTCAGACTTGCTGTGCTGTGTAAAAAAAAAAAAATGTGGCTGTGACTAGCACCCGTTGCCTCTTCTCTCCTCCCTGCTGCAGCGACCACCACAGAACATCAACGGTGTCTATCATGCTGTCCGTGTTGCTGAAGCTGCAACATAATTGTTGCAGCTTCACTAAGCTCATCACTAAGCTAAGGACCCTGGGACTAAACACCTCCCTTTGCAACTGGATTTTGGACTTCCTGATGGGCCGCCCCCAGGTGGTAAGGGTAGACAGCCACGCTGATCCTCAACACTGGGGCCCCTCAGGGGTGCGTGCTTAGTCCTCTCCAGTACTCCCTTGTTCACCCACGACTGCTTGGCCAAGCACGACTCCAACACCATCATCAAGTTTGCTGATGATAACAGTGGTAGGCCTGATCACCGACAATGATGAGACAGCCTATAGGGAGGAGGTCAGAGACCTGGCAGTGTGGTGCCAGGACAACAACCTCTCCCTCAATGTGAGCAAGAGAAAGGAGTATTATTTCTGTAGATACTGCGCAATCGGAAAGTATTCAGACCCCTTGACTTTTTCCACATTTTGTTACGTTACAGCCTGATTCTAAAGTGGATTAAATTGTCCCCCCTTCCCCCTCCCCCCTCCAATCAAGCTACACACAATACCCCATAATAACAAAACAAATGTATGAAAAATATCACATTTACATAGGTATTCAGACCCTTTACTCAGTACTTTGTTGAAGCACCTTTGGCAGTTTGGCCATGGACAAGGTGTCAAAATCGTTCCACGGGAATGATAGTCCATGTTGACTCCAATGCTTCCCACAGTTGTGTCAAATTGTCTGGATGTCCTTTGAGTGGTGGACCATTCTTCATACACACGTGAACTGTTGAGCGTGAAAAACCCAGCAACGTTGCAGTTCTTGACACAAACCGGTGCGCCTGGCACCTACTACCATACCTCGTTCAAAGGCACTTATATTTTTTGTCTTGCCCATTCACCCTCTGAATAGTACACATACACAATCCATGTAAATTGTCTCAAGTTTTAAAAATCTTTCTTTAACCTGTCTCCTCCCCTTCATTTGCACTGATTGAAGTGGATTTAGCACGTGACATCAATAAGGGATGATAGCTTTCACCTGGTCAGTCTGTCATGGAAAGAGTAGGTTTTAATGTTTTGTACACTCAGTGTATAGAAAACACATGAAAATGACATGTTTGACTACACTAGACCTTAAAATGGCCCAGTTCTAAAATTTCCTGGAAAATCTCAAAAACCAGGAGGGAAGTCGCTCCCTATGAAATTGGGATTTAGGCTACATAGACAATAATTAAGTCCGCCAAAATCACAGCTCGTAAGTAATCGTGGTTATGTAGTTTGAGGAAACAAAAAGCAAAGTGCACAGGAGGGCATGAATTATTTCGGCAGTGTCAGATTAGATTAGCTGCTCCAGTTGGCCTCTCAGGGAACATGCACTATGACAGGTGTGCTCAGAGCATCAATGACCCTGGGATTTGGCAACCAAGACACCAGCCCACAAGCAGTGGGGGAGAGAAATCACAAGTCTACCATCACCCAGTGAAGGGCGTTTTAACTTCTGAAGGATTACACTTCAATCACACTTCAGGAAGGCAGTGTGGGAAATTAAGCTCAAACAAAATGCCATACTGGAGTCTGAAGTTCCTGAGAGGCGGCTGATGTAACACCGCTGCTCGGTTGTTTAAAAACAGGACACAATTGTCAATAATGGACAAAGTTTGACACGGAGCGCAATGGAGAACTATGAGGAAAAGCAGTATTAATTCAAGGTCTGTGGGCAGACACGTTCCTTTACAGTGAATAAATTAACCTATTGTGACTGTTCTAAAACTAAACCGCCTCAATCAGTCAGATCTCAAATGAAAGTGGAAAATTCAGAGATGAGCCCCAGTGGCAGTGCATGTAGAGTAGGCAGAGGGAAAGAGTGAGAGGAAGAAAGAGTGCCCAGGGTTATAGGATCAGGTATGTGCTTACTGTGTGACATGTGACCTGTCACTGGCCTTTCTCCTGCCAGCGTGAATCAGCCTCAGAGCGCAGCAGTGTTCCCCCCATGACACGCTCTTCTTAACACACACGCACACACACACACACACACAGACACAGTCAAATTCCACATACCCGCAACATACAAACACGCACTAGTTTACACAAATGCCAGAATATTTCATTCACCACCAACCTCAATTGTAGTCGCTATAATGAATGCCATACACTCACCCCTGAATCGCTCAAACCAACAGCCTATACATCCACTGCTGAACATTGTCATGGAAAAAGATCTAGGCCTAACAGACACAATCTCGGGTGGAAAACACACGTGTCAAAATTTGTCCTTATGCATAATTGCCGCAACTGACATTTTCTGAGGAATATAGCCCAATCGAAATTTGCTATGTCCACTTTTGACACAGAAATCTTGTATAAAATATCAGTAAAAATAGATAAATTACCTCTTGACTCCGTATGCCATGTTTAGCAGATTGTCCAACCTGAAATGAAGAAAGTGGAGTTCAGTTGAAGCACATACTGTATTCTACAGAACACTGATGAAGTTGAACACATTCATTAAAGATGCCAATGCGCAGATGTACGCGAGTTTAAAGCAAATTCACTCTCAGGATATCCCCAGGGAAATTACTTCCAAATTACATTGTTTATGATGTGTAGTATATTCACACAAATGTCAGTGTAAAGGGCAAACGTGTACCATTATATGGTCAAAAAGCATGATGAAAAGGAATAAAAAGCCATTATGAACTGCAAGTGCACCCATATTAATAAAATACGCAAATACGAAGAGTCACTAAGGAAGAAAAGTATGGTTAAAGTATTAGGCTTACATGACAGTTTGAATTAGAATACATTCAATTCCATTAAAAGGTTGCCAAAAATGAAATCAAATGGTTAAGTCAATTTGGACAGCCCATTACAGAGTGTTTGCCTTTTATTCAAGGGGGCTTTCCAATAGTCAAGTGTTTCAATGACCAAAATACTCAACTCCAAAATTTGCAAAATCCCCCAAACCCACACTTACGTTAAACAAGATGAGATATTTGCAACAGGAGGAACACAGCAAAGTACATATGGTTGAAACATGAATACCATCAGTATTCTGAATAACACTGGATGTTTTGTTAAGTAAAACAATGTTGTAGCGTAATGTAGCCTATAGTATTCCACTTTTAAGTGAGACAATTCAAATGCGAATTCTAGGGCCCTATAAAATCGATGAGGAGAACGAGGACGGAATCACAGAATCCAGACATTAAAACTGTTCAAAAATCGATTGAACTTAAGTAGGAAATCAACAAAATGTATTCAATTTATTAGAAATGTATTAATTTGCCCAAGATTATGATATGTACAAAATGCATAAGTTAATCGTATTTTCTTTCAACTTTCATGAAGAGGCAACGGCGTGGGAATGGCGCCCGTCTGTGTACGTGCATTTGTCTACCACTTTGTGTAGCCGTTAACGATGATGCTAACGACAACCGTCTTCTGGTAGATGGAAAAGCTTTCCCAAAAACCTTTTATATTAAATGTTAACTACAAAGTAGTCTATGCCTAACCTGGCAGAATGATATGATTATTTGCATCAATCCGCAATCACGTGCGTGCGACAGAAACACTGCTAACCAAGCCAGTCTCTTGCTGGTGCACACTTGAATTAAAGGGTATCTACACCCAAAAATGTAAATGGTTTAACCATTGCTGTGGACTTAGAACATCACATTGTTGTTTTTCTTTTAAAAAAAGTTAGATTTTGAGAAAACCTGAAAAACAGACAAATCTGAAATCTGTAAAAACAAAACTGAGAAAACGGAATTTGGGATAAAACTAAATGGAACAAGGTGAAAAATTCAACAGATTTTATAGGGCCCTATAATTCCTTTCACCTGTGAGGAATAAATTGATTCCATATCATTGTAGGTTGGCTATGACTTTGTTTAGGTCTAATCAGAATGCGGTAGGTAAGTGGGTTTGTTTTTGGTGTGCCCCTTTACCTGAAGCGCTGTGCCTGCTGTGCAAGGGGTCCGGGGCACCTTCGATTGGGCGACTGGTACAGCTGGGAGAGCAGTGCCTGGCTGGTCTTCTGGCTGGGGTTGTTGGCAAACTTCACTGTGATGGGCTCTGTAGCGCCTGGCGGTTTTTGGCCGTTCAGGCCCTTGATGGCTTCTTCTGCTTCGATTCGCCGGTCAAACCTGATAAAACCCACTCCTCTGGAGACACCTGGGGACCGCAAGTGTCACATGTTTAGACGGATGCAATATCGTGACCCTGAGTGACTTGGTTAGCTACATGTCATTATAGTAAGTAAGCCCTGTCCGAGCCAGAACTGGCCATAGGGAAGGAGTCTATCTTCTGTTTCTGTAACGTGAGGCAGCACGATATACTAGGTTTTACTGCTAACCTACAAAGCATTACATGGGCTTGCTCCTACCTATCTCTACGATTTGGTCCTGCTGTACATACCTACACGTATGCTACGGTCACAAGACACAGGCCTCCTTATTGTCCCTAGAATTTCTAAGCAAACAGCTGGAGGCAGAGCTTTCTCCTATAGAGCTCAATTTTTATGGAATGGTCTGCCTATCCAGTTCCCGTCTCTCCATTGGGATTCTCTGCCTCTGACCCTATTACGGGGCCTGAGTCACTGGCAAACTGGTGCTTTCCATGCCGTCCCTAGGAGGGGTGCGTCACTTGAGTGGGTTGAGTCACTGACGTGGTCTTCCTGTCCGGTTTGTCGCCCCCTCGGGCTCGTGCAGTGGAGGAGATCTTTGTGGGCTATTCTCAGCCTTGTCTCAGGGTAGTAGGTTGGTGGTCTGTTGATATCCCTCTGGTAGTGTGGGGGCTGTGCTTTGGCAAAGTGGGTGGGGTTATATCCTTCCTGGTTGGCCCTGGCCGGGGGTATTGTCGGACGGGGCCACAGTGTCTCCCGACCCCCCCCCCCCCCGTCTCAGCCTCCAGTATGTTCCCTCTAATTCTCTCTCTCTCTCCCTCTCTCCCTTTCTCCCCTCCCGGAGGACCTAAGCCCTAGGACCATGCCTCAGGACTACCTGGCCTGATGTCTCCTGGCTGTCCCCAGTCCACTTGGTCGTGCTGTCTATTGCAAGGCCATGCCAACATACTTGGCAGAAAATAAAGTGATGAGCAGCATAACAAACACATTTGTGGTCAAACAGTCATTGAAACATCAAGCCTACACCTGATATTTGAAATGTAAGTCTTCCTTTTCAAAATCAGAACCACAAACCCCACAAGTCAATGATATCCCTGTAGTCAAACCACCGGGTTCAACATATTTGCAGACGGGGAAGCAGGAATAAGATTCCTTCTCGAAAACTGACTGGATATATGAGTAAGTAGTCACTTGCTCTGCAGTCACGTTCTTATATAAAAACAACCCAAAATTGCCTTGGCATCAAATTATACTGAACAAAAATATAAACACAACATGCAACAATTTCAAAGATTTTACTGCGTTACAGTTCATAGAAGGAAATCAGTCAATTGAAATGAATTCATTATGCCCTAATCTATGGATTTCACATGACTGGGTAGGGGCGCAGCCATTGGTGGTTCTGGGTGGGCATAGGCCCACCCACTTGGGAGGTCCACCCACTGGGGAGCCAGGCCCAGCCAATCAGAATTCTTTCTTCCCCCACAAAAAGGGCTTTATTACAGACAGAAATACTCCTCAGCAACGTTGAGGGGGCTTATGGTAGAGAAATCAAAATATATTTTATATTTGAGATACTTCAAATAGCCACCCTTTACCTTGACAGCTTTGCATACTCTTGGCATTCTCTCAACCAGCTTCATGAGGAATGCTTTTCCAACAGTCTTGAAGGAGTTCCCACATATGCTGAGCACTTGTTGGCTGCTTTACCTTCACTCTGCAGTTCAACTCATCCCAAACCATCTCAATTGGGTTGAGGTCGGATGATTGTGAAGGCCAGGTCATCTGATGCAGCACTCAATCACTCTCCTTCTTGGTTAAATTGCCCTTACACAGCCTGGAGGTGTGTTGGGTCATTGTCCTGTTGAAAAACAAATGATCGTCCCACTAAGCCCAAACCAGATGGGATGGCGTATCACTGCAGAATGTGGTGGTAGCCATGCTAGTTAAGTGTGCCTTGAATTCTAAATAAATCACAGACAGTGTCACCAGCAATGCATCCCCACACCATCACATCTCCTCCTCCATGCTTCACGGTGGGAATCACACATGCAGAGATAATCCGTTCACCTACTCTGCATCTCACAAAGACAAGGTGGTTGGAACCAAACATCTCAAATTTGGACTCATCAGACCAAAGGACAGATTTCAATCGGTCTAATGTACATTGCTTGTGTTTCTTGGCCCAAGCAAGTATCTTCTTCATATTGGTGTCATTTAGTAGTGGTTTCTTTGCAGCAATTCCACCATGAAGGCCTCGACCATGAAGGCCTGATTCACGCAGTCTCCTCTGAACTTGATGTTGAGATGTGTCTGTTATTTGAACTCTGTGAAGCATATATTTGGGCTGCAATTTCTGAGGATGGTCACTAATGAACTTATCCTCTGCAGCAGAGGTAACTTTGGGTCTTCCTTTCCTGTCGCGGTCCTCATGAGAGCCAATTTCATCATAGGGCTTGATGGTTTTTGCGACTGCACTTGAAGAAACGTTCAAAGTTCCTGAAATTTTCCGGATTAACTGACCTTCATGTGTTAAAGTAATGATGGACTGTCGTTTCCCTTTGCTTATTTGAGCTGTTCTTGACATAATATGGACTTGGTCTTTTACCAAATAGGGCTAGCTTCTGTATAGCACCTCTACCTTGTCACAACACAACTGATTGGCTCAAATGCATTAAGGAGGAAAGACATTCCACACATTAACAAGGCACACCTGTTAATTGAAATGCATTCCAGGTTACTACCTCATGAAGCTGGTTGAGATAATGCAAAGCTGTCATTAAGGCAAAGGGTGGCTACCTTGAAGAATCTTAAATATAAAATATATTTTGATTTAACAGTTTTTTGGTTACTACATGATTCCATGTGTTATTTCATAGTTTTGAGGTCTTCACTATTATTCTACAATGTAGAAAATAGTAAAAATAAAGAAAAACCCTTGAATGACTGGTGCTGTACATATGGAAGCATTGTCCCTAATCCTTGCCAGGGAGAATATTGTCTGCAGCAGAGAGGGGGTGGGAAATGTCTCCGCGATAGAAATTCTGTTTATTAGGAGTGTACAGATTCCATTTCCACATGACAGTTTAGAAATGGATATTATAACAATTGTAAATGAATTGTATTTTCTGCCATGAAACAGGCATTACAGCTACACCTTCAGGGGCAATGAGGACATGAGGGGAGAGGGGGAGGTTGGAGAGGGAAAGAAGGGGTGGGGGTGGGTTTCATATTTCATATTTAATGAATGTCTGCAGCGGAAAATTGCTTATTTGGGACCGCATACTGCCACCTCTGATATGTATTCCTGAGGCCTGGCTGAGGCATTTTGTTTGTATGCCAGATATGTGTGTGTGTGTGTGTGTGTGTGTGTGTGTGTGTGTGGGGGGGGGGGCTCCTACTCACCGGTCACCTGGTCCACCAGAATGCGTGAGGTAATGATGCGTCCATACTGCGAGAAGAGCTGCTCCAGTTCTTTCTGAGTCATGGTTTTTGGCAAGCCACTGACGTACAAATTTGCATCTCTAATGGAGGCTGAGCTTGGACGAGCATAGGAAACCTAGAGCGGGAGCAATTACAAGAGACATGTTAGTGTCTTCTAGTAAAAGCCACACACACACACACACACACTTCACACTGAAGAATGCCACTAGTGACCTAACTGAGAAATGGTGGTGACACCCTCTACACACGACCAGCAGTGGAGAAACAAGAGAAGAATTCCAAAGCCTCCCGTGTTTGTTATGTCTAACAAGTGTAGGGCCAATTAAAAGCTCTGAATCCAATGATAAACATCCAGTGCTCGCTCGCCCCTCCGAACAGGTTGCCGATTTAGACTGCTGATTTCGTTACAATAAAATACTTCTGCCACAATTATGGGGAAATCCATATTCATGAGTCTTGGTGTCTCCCTGATGGCTTCTGGAATGTTCCACAAACAAGGCCGCGTCTGAACAGCGGGGAGGGAGCAGAGCCAGGGTAGGAGTGACATTAAGTGTTTTCTGCACTGATGAAAACATAACATTTTAGGTTCCAACCTTAGTTTCAGGGCCTCTTTTTCTAGGACAGACGCTTAGTAGGCTTGTTTAATATACATTTTATTTTAGGGATCAAAATAAATGTGGGTTTTGGTGGGAGGTTTGTATTAGGAATTAGTATTCTTTCACTTGAGTGTTAATTTTTGGAGAGAATAAATTATAGGTCTATTTTAACAATGAAAACACATTGTTTAAATTAAAATTGTTCCATACAAGGATACACCATGATATTTGAATGTTTTAAATAAATTCTTACATTATCTTTTATGTTGCGTTTTACATAAAAATAAAGTGTATTATTATAGTGCATTTGTGACCCGTTCCAGGAAGCTAGGCGTATGTCACTACATCACATGAGGCATTTGAACATTAAATCCATTTTTTTTTTAGCAAAATGCATTTTTGGCCCAGAAATGCCTTCTGGAACATGTGAACATTCATGTGCCTTAATAACAAATGTGTATGCCATCTGTAAATACGAATAAATACATAAATAACGAGCTTAGTTGGTTTAGCCACGGAAAAGGACGGGAACCTTCCCGCTAGCCATGATTGGCTGAGATAATGGATGGGCTGGAGATGCCGAGAGACGAGTTCAGATTGGTCTGCCGTGTAGCATGCTTCTGTCTATAACATGAGCTGCTCAGTTTGTGTCGATAATCCTTTCTACCGCAGCTTTTTTGAAAGATCTCATGAAGAACAGCAAGTGTTGCTACTGCACACAACTGAATTTAACAGGCGGTATCGACAAAGATCAGTGGGAAAAAAATGTGGAGGACTACTTTCTGGAGGACGATCATGCCATGCTGACTCGCTCTGACTCTGAAAATGTATCAAACGATGGGGAAATCCCTGATTTAGGTTAAAACATTTTCATTGATCCATACATTGTAGAGTCTTCTGATGACAGTGATGGGGAAGAAACAGCGATAAACAGTGTTGTCACGGAAGAAGTTGACAGTTTTTAAATCAGTGGAATGCCCGGTGGAAGCAGAGTATGATTGCAAAATGCAGTTGGAGTCAAAAAGAGAACACAGACGGCTGTGGTATAAAAAACCTGTCTCCGGATTTCATCTTCAAACTAAGGGCAACCTTGGCATCCATGACAGATAGGGAGAAGCGTTTACCCATGTGCATTCGGAAAGTATTCAGACCCCTTGACTTTTTCACATTGTTACGTTACAGCCTAATTCTAAAATGGATTGAATCATAAGTAAAAACTGGTTTTTCGAAATGTTTGCAGATTACAAATAAACTGAAATATCACATTTACATAAGTACTCAGACCCTTTACTCAGTACTTTGTTGAAGCACCGTTGGCAGCGATTACAGCCTCAAGTCTTCTTGGGTATGACGCTGCAAGCTTGGCACACCTGTATTTAGGGAGTTTCTCCCATTCTTCTCTGCAGATTCTCTCAAGCTGTTGGATGGGGAGTGTAGCTGCACAGCGATTTTCAGGTCTCTCCAGAGATGTTCGATCAGGTTCAAGTCCGGGCTCTGGCTGGGCCACTCAAGGACATTCAGAGACTTGTCCCGAAGCCACTCCTACATTGTCTTGGCTGTGTGCTTAGGGTCGTTGTCCTGTTGGAAGGTGAACCTTTGCCCCAGTGTGAGGTCCTGAGCGCTCTGGAGCAGGTTTTCATCAAGGATCTCTGTACTTTGCTCTGTTCATCTTTCCCTCGATCCTGACTAGTCTCCCAGTCCCTGCCGCTGAAAAACACTCCCACAGCACGATGCTGTAACCACCAAGCTTCAACGTAGGGATGGTGCCAGGATTCCTCCAGATGTGACACTTCGCATTCAGACCAGAGAATCTGGTGGCTTCCGTCTGGCCAAATTGGTGGAGTGCTGCAGAGATGGTGGTCCTTCTTGAAGGTTCTTCCATCTCCACAGAGGAACTCTGGAGCTCTGTCAGAGTGACCATCGGGTTCTTGGTCACCTCTCTAACCAAGGCCCTTCACCTCAGATTGCTCAGTTTGGCTGGGCGGCCAGCTCTAGGAAGAGAGTCTTGGTGGTTCCAAACTTATTCCATTTAAGAATGATGGAGGCCACTATGTTCTTGGGGACCTTCAATGCTGCAGACATTTTTTGGTACCCTTCCCCAGATCTGTGCCTCGACATAATCCTGTCTCTGAGCTCTACGGACAATTCCTTTGACCTCAGGGCTTGGTTTTTGCTCTGACATGCGCTGTGGGATCGTATATAGACAGGTGTGAGCCTTTCCAAATCATGTTCAATCAATTGAATTTACCACAGGTTGACTCCAATCGAGTTGTAGAAACATCAAGAATGATCAATGGAAATAGGATGCACCGGAGCTCAATTTTGAGTCTCATAGCAAAGGGTCTGAATACTTATGTAAATAAGGTATCTGTTTTTATTTTTAATACATTTGCAAGGTGTCTGAATACTTTCCAAAGGCACTGTATAGGGTTAAGAGTCATTTCCATACATTTCCAGATATTATGTGTTTCTACATTTTGTCAGAAAGCCATTTGCATTGCTAGTTATAGCCTAATGTTAGCTAGCTATCTTTAGGTACCTGCAGATTCATGCATGGTACTATGGGTGGGGATTATGGGTCTAAACAAAAAAAGTACACTATGCAAGTAACCATTTCACTGTACCATTTACACCTTCTGTATCCTGTGCATGTGACAAATAAACTGAGATTTTATTTGATATAGTGTGTGTTTACCAGAGACTGTAATGTGAAGAACATGACCTGCACCAAAGTCAGATTAGGATACAGACCAAGGACTAGATAGTGTATTTTTGCTACTACTTTCACCACTTTTAGTCACTGTTTCGCACATGGCTTCACACGTGAATCATTAAAGAGATTGGGTGGGGGTGTGAACTAAGGCTTAAGAGGGTGTGAACTATGCTGAATGGGTGTAGACAAAAAAAGAGCTCTCCAGTAGGTGTACTAAAACATTCTCAAAAGTGGGGTTACAAGTTTTTCAACTTTCAAAGCAGACTTACTTTCTCATTGTTCCTCAACTGCAATGTATGAAATTCAATTTACTAGCCCTGAGTCTCTACTTTTAGCCAATGTAAAAAAACAATTTCAAATTTTGCTACATAGGACCGAATCAAGGTGCTGGGTCACATTTAGCCCTCCAGTCAGCCCTGACAACAGTAGACTATGACATTTTCCCCACTTCAAATTGCTATTACAGGCACACACCTTACAGAGGTTCCACAAGACCTGACACAGATCAATGTAAAACACCCACCAGAAAACTTTTTTGAAACAGAATCAGTTCCATCATGGCGAACATCAGACTTCTCTTTCACTGTTGCGGTTAGCCAAAACCTACTGGAAAATAGCAGCTGTCCGCTGTTGTGTTACCTTTGCCCTCTGCATTTATGTCGTTATGATTGGTCAAGAGCATTTATTTTATTGAAACTATCCGGACATCCCAAAAAATGCCATGATATTATTCAAATAGTGAAATAACTTCAAATGCCCAACCCTAGTTGGTATGGATGTTGGGAGAGTATTGGGGGAACAACTGTGTTAGACTTGATGGATAGAGCTGAGAGCAAGGCAGCATGGTTTCCAGAGGTCATACCTGTGTACAGAACTGAATGAGGGGAGAAATATATGCCTACATGTAGACCAAAATAGCCATTCGTTTTCAGAAACCCATCATATGTTTTCTGCACACAACCTGTGAGGGTGTATTGCCTCTCAAACACTGGGCCCAACTAACATCTCCAGCGTAGTCATAAATACATGTTTCCGAAAACACATCCGCGTACTAAAAAACAGGAAGGTACCAGATAGTCATCTACTCTACCTGAGGGTCAATACATCATTACATCCCTGAACAGTCCTATCAATTTATTTACTGAGGATAACATCCTTCTATGCAGGCACACACACACACACACAGTGAGAGTTTAGGTGTGGAGAGAGTGGCTGTGTCCGAATACCCATACTTGCGTCCTAAATAGTAGGCCTTTAGAGTATGCGAAAAAATAATGTTCAATAGATCGAGTATACTTTAAATGACTGATGTCATACTCTTTTTGGCTTTGACAACAGCTGATCAATTAGATATGGGGAATGCCGAAATCAACGAATAACGGGAAACAACGCAATCGCACATGAAGCATTCTCAGTATGCGGAAATCGAGTATGTGAATTTTTGAAAATCGAGTATGGTTTAAACGCCAGGATCTTATACTCGGGGGTCAAAGCAAAAAATAACAAAAAACGACTAAACTTAAGTAGATCTCAGATCGATTGTCTGGGGCCAAGTTAACCTCCCCTTTCATGTAAGAAAGTACAGTGGTATTCTGAAAATTCCACCAGCACTCAGCCCCGCCCCACCTCCTCGGCCAGTCATGAGCTGCTACTGCGTTGCGGCCGTGGCATACCTTTTACTAAATGGTACGTGCTAAATAGTATGCAGTTTAAGTATGTAGTACGCCAGTGTGTGGGGACAGTGTGGAGCAGTCTGGGCTGCCCACACTGGTCTGGGCTGCCCTCGTAGCTGCCTATAGGTCTGTGTGAGAGACAGGGCCGTCTATTATCTGGCCAGTGCACCGCGGCCGTATTTAATTACAGTGTCAGATCCGCTAAATGGTCCTCCACCAAGACCCTCTCCGCAATCTTGCCTGACGGATTGTATCAATAAAATTCACTTGCTTTAATTAAACCTCCAAATAGGATCCCTTTTGGTGCTCCCCGATCGATGAAACCCCCGCCCCATACACTTCCCTCACGTACTTCCCCCTCTCCCTAACCTAAAGGAAAGACAGGCGAAAGTATCGAACCACCCCCCCTCCTTTACTCCCCCAGTCTCACCTTCACACTGCACTTGATGCTAATACTTGCAAAGTATATTCTGCTGGCTCACTGGGGTTTATTTGCACTTCTGACAGAGCAGCTGGAGAATTTCAGGTGATGTAAAAAAATTTAACAGATCATCTGTTCTAGTTGAGGTTGAGAGGGGGGCTGGGAGAAAAAGCTGTGTTATGTTTGATTCATGCAAATACAATGGCGCTCGCCACATCCTCGATATACATTAACGGTAATCAAGCTTGCATTACACAATTTGGTGTCATTCAAAATCCCTTCATTATCGCTCAATACAGTTTTGCAAACAGCCCTTTTCTTTCCCCTGCAATCCCCCGCGAGATCAGGCCAATGCTGTTTATGTACGGCCCAAGGAAAATCGCATCCAATAAATCAGTCCCAGCGTTCACAGGTCCTGATTCACTGTATGAAGCACATTTGTTTTTTCTCTAGCACATCTATCTATACCTGCTCTGCCAGATGAATGCTAGTAAGTGAGCCACCTCCCTGTACCGGCATCATAAACAGGCGCTCTACGAGCTAAGGCAGCACATGCAACCATAGAAACAGTTCTGCTCTACTTGAGGCCTCATAGCGACACAGTTATTAAAGGCTCTCTCCTCACAACGCAACACCTTAATACCAGACAGGATGTTAAAACATGGACAGCACACAACTACCATGAAATTTTGATTTTTGCCACTAGATACTAAGTGAATGGAACATGGAAATGACTTTTATACTGAACAAAAAAATAAAACGCAACATGTAACAATTTCAAAGATTTTACTGAGTTACAGTTCATTTAAAGGAAATACATTCATTAGGCCCTAATCTATGGCTTTCACATGACTGGACAGGGGTGCAGCCATAGGTGGGCCTGGGAGGGCATAGGCCCACTCACTGGGCAGCCAGGCCCACCCAATCAGAATGAGTTTTTCACACACAAAAGGAATTACAGACAAATACTCAGCTCATGAAACATGGGACCAACACGTTTATATATTTTTCAGTGTACTTAGAATAGAATAAGCTATCAGGTTAAAATTCCATCATGCTGGACAATTGAATGAACACTCACATGCGATACCCGATAGAGATCAGGCGCTTACCTTAATGGTTTTGGTCTGAAGTCTCAGGCCATTTAAGGTGTTGATGGCTTTTTCTGCATCTTTCGGGTCCACGTAATTCACAAATCCATAACCTAGGCTCTGCCCTGCAATCAGAAAACAAACCAATTAGAATTTCTAAGCTTGGCTTTGGTCAGATCAGGTTTGTCTTGCCCACACACACACATAGTAGGCCACATCAATGTAGTAGACAAGATACGGACACACAAGATGTAGAATACAATACAGTAGTTCAAATTTAAAAGGGCATATGATGAACTTGAAGCCTCAATGGTGCGTCACAAAAAAAAAAAGTGAATTAATTACTAATTACTGCCAATCCATTCAAGCCCTGATGCCCTAAACACAACTACTTCCTATCCAGTGACAGCACAGCAAAATATTGTAGATTGCCAACCCCTTTCAATCAAAATGTTTTCAACCACAGGATATTCTAACACAGGAAGCCACATACAAACTGTCAGCATTTGAAACAACGGTAATACTTTACTTGAAACCCAGCGTCTTAACACGTTATGACACGGTCATAACCAGTCATAATATGGTTATAACACTGTCGTGATGCATATTTAGACCTGTTGTGACAGTGTTATTTTATGGCTGGTTATGACACCAACATAAGTGTCAAAACCCACAAAACCTACCCCACAAGGTAAAACATTCCATTGCACCATAGCCTACTTATGTTATGAAACAATGTTGGTGGTTCTCTATTTATACATTTATGTGTTCTTTGTTCGTGCTTTTCTAATAACCGTTTTCTGTGTTCAGAATCATCACCATCAGTATCTGCAATTTGGCAGTATGCCCAGACCCTTGTTTTGAGAACGAAAGATATCTTAGTTAAGGTCTCAGCTTAGAGAGAAGAAGCCTTGTGAGGTATTGGTCGGTCACATGCCTGACCCAGTATTGGGTCGGTCACATGAACGAAGCAAATGTTGATCAATTATTACGAATAATGAATAAGCTAAATCATGCAAATATTACTTTGTATAAGTATATAAGAGAACTAACAGGACTGCTCCGTTACAGCTCCTGACAGATATTCACTATTGTGCATCAAGTTTGTTGGAACCTCTCCAGCGCGCTGACAATGATTAATTTAATATTGACTTCGAGTGTCCATGTGTGTAATAATTTCCACAACAATTATAACATTTTCTGAAATGTACCATATTAAATTATCATTGTAATTGCGCACACATTGATGTCAGAAATGTACCTACCCTTATACTCTGTTGCTGATGACTGTGATGAATGCAGGAGCAGATTTTAGACACCCTCTTTTTGACTGACATAAGGGCATGTACGTGATAGGCTTATCTGGCTTATATGATTATGATGGTCATAATGCTTCTTGACAGTGTCATCAAGTGTATTTGACAAGTTATAAAAAAATGTTTAAAAAAAATAAAACGAAATAATTAATTACAACAAAATACCTTAAACTTTCAAACATTTGGGTTTTGACATGCATGTAGGTGTCATTACCAGCCATAAAATAACGCAATATGTCACAACAGCTGTAAATACACTACATGGCCAAAAGTAAGCTTGTCGAACATCTCATTCCAAAATCATGGGCATTAATATGGAGTTGGTCCCCCCTTTGCTGCTATAACAGCCTCCACTCTTCTGGGAAGGCTTTCCACTAAATGTTGGAACATTGCAGTGAGGTCGGGCACTGATGTTGGGCGATTAGGCCTGGCTCACAGTCTGCGTTCCAATTAATCCCAAAGGTGTTCGATGGGGCTCCTTCCACACCGATCTCAAAAACCCATTTCTGTATGGACCTCACTTTGTGCAAGGGGGCATTGTCATGCTGAAACAGGAAAGGACCTTCCCCAAACTGTTGCCACAAAGTTGGAAGCACAGAATCATCTAGAATGTTATTGTATGCTGTAGCGTTAAGATTTCCCTTCGCTGGAACTAAAGGGGCTTAGCCCGAACCACGAAAAACAGCCCCAGACCACTATTCCTCCTCCCTCAAACTTCAGCTGGAACTATGCATTCGGGCAGGTAGTGTTTTTCTGGCATCTGACAAATCCAGATTCGTCAGATGGTGAAGCGTGATTCAGCCACTGCTCCAGAGTCTAAATGGCGGTGAGCTTTACACCACTCCAGCCAACCCTTGGCATTGGTGAACTTAGGCTTGTGTGCGGCTGTTTGGTCATTTAAACCCATTTCATAACGCTCCCGAGGAACAGTTATTGGGCTGACGTTGCTTCCAGAGGTAGTTTGGAACTTGGTAGTGAGTGTTGTAACGATTTTTACACGCTACGTGCTTCAGCAGTAGGCTGTCTTGTTCTGTGAGCTTGTGTGGCCTACCACTTCGCGGCTGAGCCGTTGTTTCTCCTAGACATTTCTACTTCACAATAACAGCACTTACAGTTGACCAGGGCAGCTCTAGAAGGGCAGAAATTTTACGAACTGACTTGTTAGAAAGGTGGCATCCTATGACGGTGCCACATTGAAAGTCACTGAGCTCTTCAATAAGGCCATTCTACTGCCAATCTTTGTCTATGGAGATTGCATGTCTGTGTGCTCAATTTTATATACAGTTGAAGTCAGCAGTTTACATACACCTTAGCCAAATACATTTAAACTCAGTTTTTCACAATTCCTGACATTTAATCCTGGTAAAACTTCCCAGTTTTAGGTCAGTTAGGATCACCACTTTATTTTAAGAATGTGAAATGTCAAAATAATAGTATAGAGAATGATTTATTTCAGCTTTTATTTCTTTAATCACATTCCCAGTGGGACTCAATTAGTAGTTGGTAGCATTGCCTATAAATTGTTTAACCTGGGTCAAACGTTTCAGGTAGCCTTCCACAATAATTTGGGTGAATTTTGGCCCATTCCTCTTGACAGAGCTGGTGTAACTGAGTCAGGTTTGTAGGCCTCCTTGCTCGCACACACTTTTTCAGTTCTGCCAACACAATTCTATAGGATTGAGGGCTTTGTGATGGCCACTCCAATACCTTGACTTTGTTGTCCTTAAGCCATTTTGCCACAACTTTGAAAGTATGCTTGGGGTCATTGTCCATTTGGAAGACCCATTTGCGACCAAGCTTTAACTTCCTGACTGATGTCTTGAGATGTTGCTTCAATATATGCACATCATTTTCCTTCCTCATGATGCCATCTGTTTTGTGAAGTGCACCAGTCCCTCCTGCAGCAAAGCACCCCCACAGCATGATGCTGCCACCCCCGTGCTTCACGGTTGGGATGGTGTTCTTCAGCTTGCAAGACATCCCTTTTTCCTCCAAACATAACGATGGTCATTATGGCCAAACAGTTCTATTTTTTTTTTCATCAGACCAGAGGACATTTCTCCAAAAAGTACGATCTTTGTCCCCATGTGCAGTTGCAAACCAGAGTCTGGCTTTTTTATGGCGGTTTTGGAGCAGTGGCTTCTTCCTTGCTAAGCGGCCTTTCAGGTTATGTCGATATAGGACTCGTTTTACTGTGGATATAGATACTTTTGTAACTGTTTCCTCCAGCATCTTCAAAAAGTCCTTTGCTGTTGTTCTGGGATTGATTTGCACTTTTCGCACCAAAGTACGTTCATCTCTAGGAGACAGAACGCGTCTCCTTCCTGAGCGGTATGACAGCTGCGTGGTCCCATGGTGTTTATACTTGCGTACTATTGTTTGTACAGATGAACGTGGTACCTTCAGGCGTTTGCTCCCAAGGATGAACCAGACTTGTGGAGGTCTACAATTATTTTTCTGAGGTCTTGGCTGATTTCTTTTGATTTTCTCATGATGTCAAACAAAGAGGCACCGAGTTTGAAGGTAGGCCTTGAAATACATCCACAGGTACACCTCCAATTGACTCAAATGATGTCAATTAGCCTATCAGAAGCTTCTAAAGCCATGACATCGTTTTCTGGAATTTTCCAAGCTGTTTAAAGGCACAGTCAACTTAATGTATGTAAAATAATCTGTCTGTAAACAATTGTTGGAAAAATTACTTGTGTCTTGCACAAAGTAGATGTTCTAACCGACTTGCCAAAACTATAGTTTGTTAACAAGTTTTAATGACTCCAACCTAAGTGTATGTAAACTTCCAACTTAAACTGTACCTGTCAGCAATGGGTGTGGCTGAAATAGCCGAATCCACAAATTTCAAGGGGTGTCCACATACTTTTATATATAATTTAGTATATATATATGGGTATTGCCAGTGTTATAACCATATTATGACATGGTTATGACCATGTCGTAACGTGCTATGACACTGGTTGTCAAGTGTTACCCAGACAACTATTCGGCTATGCCAAGAATCTTTGCCCATCTCGATATTTTCATAATCCCATGGTAGCATGCACAAACCACCCGTTTAAATTTAGTTCAAAAACATGGCCACAAAAGAAAACTAATACTAACGACATTAAACATACACATGAAATGCAATGGGGGATGCAGATTCAACAAGGGTTTGAGGGGTTGGCTTTCTAGATGCCTCTTCAAACAGATGCTGCCATCTTACATGCTATAAATTGGTGCTTCACTCCCATTCTGGCTCAATATGGGATATCACCGTGAGTCATTGCTTGCACGGGTTCCTCCGCTTGTATGATGAACAGTTCATAAACTTAAATTCACCTTGCATCTCAGGGAGTGCTATAGCCAGGAGAAACACAGTGAGCCTTTGAAAGAAGCTGGTGAGATGACACTTCTATTTGAGCCTGGAGGGCAAGCAAAGCCTCTCTCACTGGGTTGTGCTATGTTGAGAAAACTACACATCTGAGGCAGAAATTAAGCATTCCTATGTATACTTCGCACTCCCTTTGTTCCGATTGGGCTCCCTCCAACATCTGCCTATACTGTAATTGGCTCCCCAGTCGTTGCAGGCAGTGGGGGCAAAGGGGATCCGGTGGGATGCAGACTTAAACAGGAAGATTGCACCCAGCACAGAGTTAAGTCTATGGCTGCAAGCTAAAGGAGAGTGGACATGAAAGGTCCAGGATGAGCCAAAGCAGGGAGAAAAATATTAATCTCTCAGGATGTCTGGTGATGACCTAACATTTGAGGTACCTAGCACAAGTAGCATACAGGGGTAGGTTGATTAGCCTA